ATTAAACCCACTTGCTTGTCAAAGTTATGTTTTGGGAAATTTGGGAATAAGCTGATAACTCTTTGTTGCACCGTTTTGTGTGCAACTCTTTTTTTCTCACAACTCTTAAAATACAGCGTACTTTCCATTGCTTATGCTTTTGATCTTATGTAACGTATGTAACGTATATCTCCGGACCTAATCCTTCTAACTTCACCTCATGTGAGCCGCCACTCCGTTCCGCGGCTCAGATCGCGATACTAAAGCGTGTTCATCTCTTTCTAGTTTTGAAAAACCTTCCCCAACCCCCGGCGCCACCCCGCCCCACCCCACACCCCCAAGCCCCCGTCTCCTAATTCCTTACATATTTAAATTCCACTTTCAACGTTCGTTGGAGTCTTCATATTGTCTCCGTATGGGCTTCCGCGTGTTTCTACATTTCGATGATTTCTTCTCGGCGAATTACGTTTCATAATTGTTTCGAAACATTTCGAATCTGTTGATAGGCTCGTGATTTCACGAAGCGGTTTACGGTCTTAATAGTGGAATCTTTTATTTTTCAGATTTTCTCTCATCACATTACGCCATAGAATATTCTTATGTCACGTACGGTGATTTATTTACTATTTGTGAAATGATAAATGAAGCACTATACACGTCAGTTTCATTTCTTCGTATTATTGCATCGTTATATTTATATTTACGTAATAATAAATACATACCCATCTCCTACTCTTACCTATTAAACTATTTTCTCCAATAAAATCGATACAGCGTGGCAATAATTTTTATTTTTATTTTATTTTATTGTTATATGGAAAACTGCAGCATGAAGAAAAATTTTAAAAATTATAAGAGATAAACAAAATTACGGACTTATAATGAACATCATTGTTCGGATGTCGACGTCCATGTTACTAACTTTTTGACATTAATCTATAACTCAAAGTAATTTTAAACCGTTATCAATTGCATTTAACGACTTTTTCTCAAACACACAGTACTGGAACAGGGGATAAAACTTTTAGTTACTTTTCTTTTGTTACGCTAAAGAAGAATTACTTCTTACGTGCGTACATAAGTACACACACATTTTTTTAAACATTTGGAACTTCTCTCCCGCGTACGAGACCTAGTAACCGTTCAGGCACATGGCGCTACCCTGTCAAAGTGTCTTTATTATTCGTTAGCTGTATTATTTATTTAAATTTACATTCATTCATTCATTCATTTATTGTACATTCGTTTATCTTTACATTGTACAAAACAAAGTGGTCCCGATGTTCGTAAGCTTAGAGATCTTTTAAACTACGCAACGGATTTTAATGTGGTTTTCAGAAAGAGTGATTCTAGCGGCAGGTTTATATAGTGTACATGTATATTAGAGTAGTGGAAAGCCAAGAAATTCAATATCTATGTTGCACCCGTGCGAAGCTGACGCGGGTCGCTAGTATGTTTAATTTGGTTCGAGCTATATTTACAATGAAAACATGTATTATTATGCCAAGTTTTTGTTGCTTGTGTTGTCAAATGATAGATGAGATATTAATTACGATTTTACTAACTTTTCATACATCTTCATTAATAAGAAAATCAGCATGATCTAAATGTAATCAATGTTTTCGATCCATAACTGAGTCCCGTGATTTCCTCGGCTACTCGCACTAAGCCATACAATTGAAATTCTTTATGGCACCGATAAGTTTGTACAAGGGGCACTTAATGCTAAATACCATTTTCTCTCAGTTAACCTTTGTTGTTTGAGAGCAACTTACGGGTAACGCAGTACTTTAATATATGAAATATTTCTCTTACGGTACTTGTTTACTCGTCAGGCAACTTACGGGATACGTCAATGACTCCAAGAATTCCTTGCAACGCTTAATATTCTTGTGTCATGGAAATGTGCTTTAAACAAAACGACAACGGATCGCCGACTGGGCAAAGCAGAGCCTCGTAGGCTCTGTTCTTCATTTCAATTTCAAATCGTTGAAAAAGAAGAACCGTTTAACTTACCTTCCTACTGGAGGAATCTTATGGAGTTGTTGCATTTCATTTACTGCGCGGAAACGGTTTAATATTTTTGAGGTGGCAATTATTACGAATAAATTTTTCGACATTACGACATTCGTTTTGTGAAATAATTTGACGGATTCCACAGTCTTTTTAGGATACCGTACCCAAAGGGGTAAAACGGGACCCTATTGCTAAGACTCCGCTGTCTGTCTGTCCGTCAGTCCGTCTATCACCGGGCTGTATCTCATGAACCGTGATAGTTAGACGGTTGAAATTATCACAGGTGATGTATTTTTATCAGATATATTAACTAAAAAATAGAGTAAAAAAATATTTAAGTGGGGCTCCCATACAACAGACATGATTTTTTCGCAGTTTTTATAGATAGTGGTACGGAACCCACACACGGTGCACAATTCCTACGCGCACTTGGCCGTTTTTTTTTATTAACTCAACGCGAAAAAGCAATCGCGTGTCAGTTGCTCTTTCGTGTTGAGTTCAAAACTAATCAAGAGATAGCTTCTTGCCATCTAATATTTGGGGACCAGTTAATATATTAGAACTAAATGGCCTAGGCACACCGCCACTGCAAAACTTGACACATTACGTGACCCGATCGGCGTAGTGGATAGTGTACCAGTTTCTTGCACCAGATGTTGTGGGTTCGACCCTCATTACATAAAAAGTACTGTGTGATGAACATAGGACTGGTGTTTAACATCTGTCATCATCATCCTCCTGCCCTTATCTCTGGGTGTTGTCGGCACATGTGAATTATGTTGTAAGTGGTTTCGGCTATGTTTTTATGACCAGCTGCCTGACCAACCTCCTTGGGAAACAAACACTCAGATTCGGAACAATTATCTGTGGGTCACACGAATACTTGTCCCGTGTGGGAATCCAACCCACGACCCCCGACGCCGAAGCCATTAGCTTGGCAACGGCGTAACGTATTTCTTTTTACAAAAGAAAAGCACTTTTAATTATTATTATAAGTTTTCAGTCTAGCTTTGCTTAGTTTTTCCACTTGATAACGCGTTAAAAGTATGTCCTGAAAATATTTTGTTATTTATTATTACAATGATAAGTACAAACGAATAATAAAACGAAAATAAAGCTGACGGTAACCAGGGTTAACATTGACGTCGTCAAATTTAGATGTACCGTCATTTCTGAAAATAGACAGACCTCAAACCATCTGACCTATATTAATTCATCAATTTAATATGTTATACAAAGTTTTGCACTAGATACCTAATATTACAGTATCTTTGTAAAACGTTTTTATGTAACGCGTGAGACAGTCCGTCACATCTGTGCAAATAGAACAACGCCAAGTCTATTAGAATCGAACAGTTGTGTCAACTTAGACAAAGGAGAATTCGGCACCGGCATTGGACATGCGATGTCGAATAGGAATTGGATTATCGCGACCAAACTATACGGACTAGTTCGGCCACGCAACAGTTTTCGCTGTTGCACGAGTGGGCAGGTCCGTCCGGGTAAGTAGCACCACCTCACAGAAGACTGGCGTGATGTGGAAGTGTTGCACTACTGCGTTTCGACTGGCGAGTGAGGTAGCTGGGGCCCACTTTATTAAAAGGCTATTGTTAAGTTGAATAATTAGGCTACATCGTTTCGCCATTTGTTCAAAGTTAAGGTCAAAATTTCTTTTTTCAATATAGGCTTATATTAAGCTCTTATTGAACTTCAAAAACCTTTTTTTCATTATATTATATAACAAAAGTATTTAAGTATAAAATTAGAAGCAGCCAGGTTACTTGCAAGTGCAGAGCAAGTGTCATTTCCACGCATCCCTGTCCATTACATGTCCATTGCTTCCCATTATGTGATTGGTTTTAAAAATAAACAGTTTCCAATTGTTTTGCCTCTTGACTACCAAAAAGATTTGAAATTATAACAATGCAACTGATACATATGTGGTGTAAAGTACGTCTTTTAACATTACACGGCCTGCCATAACCGGTTAATGCTATTTTCTGTATTTTAATTTTCAAGCCCTAAATTGTGAGTTACTTTTAAAACTTTTTATCTTAAATATTTAATTGATCTCTAGTTGAACCGTACGTAAGCGACACGAACAATATATTGTCAATTCGTTTCATTCTTGTTAAGTTTGAAATATTGTCATTGCATTGATTATAATTACCGACTTAAGTATAATATAATATAGTGTCTTTCAGACTAGTTATTCTAAATGGCAACCTGCATCATAAATTGCTAAACAGTCATATCAGTAATCGTTTAAGGTAGGTCTTGTGAAAGCCAAAGAAGTTGTTTATAACTCCAATATGACGCACAGTCGTGGGCCAAATTTAGTCAACTACTTTCTAAATTTGGCCGAATCGATATCACCATAGTATGAATTTGTGCTTCGGTATAATTCATTCGTGAAACGAGATACATTGCCAAGTTTCGGTTCGATAACATTATTTTCTTTATCTCACATCTTTATGCAAAACTGGAAATGCGTCAATTTATGTCTTACACTTGTTTTACCTTTTTGTACCGACTACTATTGTTGTAATGTGAAATTTTAAAGGGAATTATTTTGCAAATAACGCAGTAAAAAGGCTGTTTTATTAACTTACAATGCGTTGGATAAATATATTTATTTATTTCGCTAACTTCTACTCATATATTCTGTGTTGATGGATTTAATGCCTGGAGCATACTGTCACTAGGGTCAACTAACAGTCAAACAGGTGGTTGACTGGTAGAGAATGCTGCAGAGAAAAAAGAATATTATTTGAAGACTTGAGAATTACTGAACTTTCACTGAAGATGAATAGTTGACATATATCTGGGCAAGTAACGGATAGTGGTGACTAAAATAAATTTTATGTCCACTCTAACGTGGTGAAAGAGCATATTTATTGAAATCTATCGCTGTTACATAGATTACTAAGTTGCTTTTTTTATCTGTTACAGATTTCCCGGCATACTTTACGAGGTAAGTGCATTTTCGATTTTGAGATAATTCAATGTCACAACTAACGTCTGAGTTTCTCGACGTCTTCGGACATTCTGCCTACCGCGCGGGGAAAGCTAGCGAGAGGATACTTATGAGATACCGGTGGCTCGTTGCCGGGAATATCGACCAGCGTACTATTCCCAGGTTCATTCCCATTGGAGGGTAGAGAAAAAGTTACATGTGCGGACATCTCACTCTCGGCCATCGATTCAGGATCCAACTAAGCAATCACTGTTTTGTTTTGCACTTATCGGGTTCGCTCAATCGTTAGCGACTGTGGTAGGTCACCACATACTGTTTATTGTTTGCACGATTGGGCAGCTTCATCCGGTAATTACCACGGCCTCGTAGAAGATTGGCGTGAATTAAGTGTTTCACTTCTTCTTTTCGTCCGGTGAGTGCGGTAGCCGGGGCAAACTTTATTAAAAGGTGGCAACTGCAACCGTGTACGGTTGGTGCAAATGTCAATTTAACATCAGGTGAGCCACCTTCTCACATAAAAAAAATCCTACCTCAATAGTTTTAATGTCTTAAGCATATGCACATTTTTATAATCTTCTGACGCAAGTAGTTAATTAAATGAAAGGTTAGCGCGTGTTAACCAGTGATCCTTCGCAATTGTATACATCGGCTTAAAAGCGTCATGTGATATCGTCATAATAAGTATAAAATAATACGCCCGGGGGGTGGTGGGGTGGAACGGGGTGGCACTCCACGGGTCGCCATAATAAATTCATTTGCTAGTTTTTCCAATAATTCCCCGATTGGTGGAAAAATGACTGCTCCTCATATCCGATGCGTTTATCTCTTTTTGTCGTCGACTAGTTGCGGCGACCGGTTCCGCTCGTCCCTGTGTTCAACTGCGTATTGCGTGTGACGTTCCAAAGGCCCGATCCTTTTGATTTGTTTGAGTATGAGTTATTTGGCGTTCTTGGCACGGTGTTATCCTGACTTCGACAACAAAACCTCTGATTGGAAACCAATCTATTCTTAACAGTACTCGCCGCCTTAGATGGTGAATATTTATGCGCATATTTCGGTTATTGTTCATGTAGAAGTGTCTGATTCGAGGTGACCAGATGGTTGTATTGAATGATATCTTTGTGTTATAAACAAACTTATATTTCGTATGTCAAGAATATGCGATTTTATCGGATACTGTTTGTATATAACTTTATTGATTTAATGTTTCCAATGATGATGATGATGATCGAAGCGTATACTTTTGAAAAAGTAATAATATATATTTTTTTTATTTGAAAAGTTGTCAAGTGAGTAGGTGATTCGCCTGATGTTAAATGAATACCGCCGCCCTTGGACATCCGCAACACCCGTTGCGTTGCTGATGCGTTGACAACCATTAAAAGTATGGGCTAGGTTACAGTTAAAGTGCGAAAACTTTTAACTTTTAAAACCCGTGTAAGAGCTACAAATGGTAAGGTAATATCAGAACTATTATGCTAACTGAAAGTTATTGTGCTCCTGTTATTAAAGGTAACCTATGCAAGTCTGAAATCTTTAATTAAAGCAAACAAACATCAGTGGGTTAAAGTTGCATGCAACATAACAGTTAACTAGAATATATTTATACAATTCCAAATGTCAGATTTATATATTTTTGGGAAGCGCTCTCGAGCTGGCGCTCCACTCGATGTTAAGTGATAACCGCCGCCCATGGACATTTACCTGACTCACAATACGAAACGCAGAAGTGTAACACTTCTACTTTACGCCGGTCTTCTGTGAGGTCGATGTTAGATTTATATTTGTATATCATATATAATTTCCTACTAAAATATCTCTAAATATATATACAAAGTACCAGAATCACCGAGCTTTGGTCGGATTTTTCTCTCGCAAAGAAGGAAGTTGAAAAAAAAGGAAAAAAACGAACTAGGGTGTTCTGGTTTTACCGCCCAAGCTATTATAACCTTGTAGATGGCATCGAAATTTACCTTCGTATTCTAATTATATTGTAACAGTTTTTCATTGCGTAGCTAGTTCGATTTACCGTCCCAAAAACCCCCTGCACACTATATTTCAAGGAAATCGTTCGCTCAAAAATCGAGGCGCTTCCGAGATACAGATTATATATATACAACAATTGCTCGTTTCAAGGTATTATTAGATATATCATCATAAGTTCATCTACAGCTACTAGAATTTACTTCGTTAGCACACTTATTTGCACTATCGTCACGGTATTCAGTCAAATATAAAATCAGATCAGTTTATGCTCGAAGACACTAAATATGTTAACTTATCCCGTCAACATAAGATTCTATTATCTTCTGCTTCAAGCAGAAAAACATACAACTTTTCTGTCTGTATCAAGAGTTATCGATATCTGAGTAAAGAGATCCGTAGCGGCCTTAAGCGTAGCTCGGCGCTACGCGCCGCGCGGCGTAGCTTCTGCGCGCTTTCCGGGAGTTATTTTAGATGGAGCCGCATTCTTTGTTATAACGCAAGTTGTTGGTTTGATGAGAATGTTTTTCTTAACTTTTTGCCTTTATTGACAATCTTTTGGTCAATGGAGATTATTGACTATTGATTAAATAGGAAGATATATTTCCTACATAAAATTAGATTTAGGTATACGTATATTATTATTCGAAACGAGACATATCAACAACGCAACATAATATTTTGTCCCCAGAATTAATAATTTATAAAAATTACAAGAGTTAATGAGTTAATGAGTTAAGAGTTAATAATTATATTTAGATACCTCAGTCAGTTCCTTGATCATGAATGCTACACGTATTGCGGTTATCCGGTATTAATACTAAAAATAAAACGCAATTATTTAGTAAAACCAATTTACTTTTATAATTATAGGAAGTCGTTAGTATTAAATTATCTATTTTTATATATAATTATTTATTTCATATATTATAACGTAAATAAAATAAATGTCAGGTAGATTTCCAATTACAACAAATATATCAGTCACTATAGTTATTAGTAATTTCAAAGCAATTTTATAAATCGACACTCTAAAGTATATCACATCCCATAAAAATATGTAAAAGTTATTCGATTATTTCGAATGAAACAGTCTATATTTGTATCGGAAGTTAAAAAATTCTGCCTACGTTACCAAAAATAAAAGACGTAAGTATTTATGGGTGTGAATCAATTAATTTCATTTCTTCGATAATATGAATTGTTAATAGTGATGTACTGGAATAATTAAAGATAAAGTCTCGCTTTGGTCGGATACCACGAGTTTCGCAGGATAAGATTTTTATCGGTAACTATAATTGATGAATATATACATATAAACCTTCCTCTTGAATCAATCTATCTAGTAAAAACACCGCATCAAGATCCGTTGCGTAGTTTTAAAGATCTAAGGATAGGTCAGACAGATAGCGGGATGACTTTGTTTTAAACTACGTAGTGAAGAATGCAATCGCATCTTAAAACGCGTAGCCGAATTGGATTCGGTGTTGCCACGCGGCGCCCGTCTCGCCGACTGCGAGATCTCTCCCAGCGTCTGTAGCCCCGGCTGGACATCTTTTAATTTACAGTTACACTCGGCACTAATTACAATCCTTTCGCGAGATTAAAACTCGGGCGAGATTCCTCCGTGCCCCGAATTCGTCACTTACCTTTCCCTTACGGAAGTGTAAATAAGGTTTTGCGCCGAGACGTTTTCGTTGCGAGGAAATTTCGTCCTTACATTTGATGTGTTAAAACTTACACTATTGTAATTAGAGTATCACATGAGATTACACATAAGCGTATACTCATAGGCATTTCATTACATTAATAAGTCATTTATTTATTTCATCAAAATTTGTCAGATGAAGCAATGTTTTCGAACATTGACGCGTAATGGAGCCCAATTTTCAAAAGGTTGTCAACGCATCTGTAACTCGGGTGTGGCAGATGTCCATGGGCGGCGGTATTCACTTAACATCAGGCGAACCGTCTATTCGTTTGACAACTTTTCGCATAAAAATAATAATAATATGGTTTAGAACATTAAAGTTTTATCGAGTTACTTAATTTTTGTTTATGTAAGAAGATTGCAAGCCGGCCGGCGGTTCAACTGAAGTTAAGTTATAACCGCCATCCATGGACATTTGCACCTTGACATTGACACCCGCAGGACTTGCCACTCCGTTGCCACCTCTTTAATAAAGTGGGTCCCGGCTGTGACGTAGCACCTGACGTCACGCAGAATTACAACACTTCCATTTCACGCCGATATTCTGTGAGGTCGTGGTACTTCCCCGGACGGACCTGCCCATTCGTGCAACAGCGAAGAATGTTGCACGGCCTCACAATTAAATTTACAATGAAATAAAAAAAGATATATCTATGTAAGTATATATTCTAGGTGTTGTAAATTTATAGTTAATTAATAATATTAGCTGTGACCAAATCAACCCTTGCCAAGGTTTTAAGGGGCCTTAGCGACATCTTAACTCAGATTCGATGAACCTTATTTCTTTAGCGTTCATGTACAAATCTCCTTTGAGTGGCATTCTACAGACGAACATTTCACTACTTTGATTTGCTTTAGTACGAATACTAATCTATTAACCTTAAGCAAACATTAATATACGAGTATAAGGGCGAGTGGAATTAGTCTAATAATCAAGACGAAAATATCAAATTAACCCAGCTAAACATCTCAAGATATTTTTGAATAAATTCCACGGGAATGGAGCGTTTATCGTAAGCTTCCGTGAGGCCACTCTATTGTCTACGTTCACTCGTCACGAACTGAAACCTCAGGACAATTTCGTATCCCCGCGATGACGTCACGCCCGAGTCGTGCGACGGTACAACGCCACGAATCGAACCCGGGACCCAATCAAGAGGCGAGCGTTCCGTGACTCCGACCGATAGGCGAGTCGACAAATCATCCGCGGCGGAGCGCGTGCCGGCGGGAAGCGGAAAAAATCTCTCGCTCCGTATTGTTCCTACTAATAAAAAGTTCTAATAAACATGCAACTAAGCTACGGGCTTCCGGCAAATAAAACATAAAAATATATCCTATTTTCATAGGGCGAGGGTGGCACCGACGCGGGGTGGGGCGGCCCCCCCTGCCCCCCCATCTGCGCAAAAACCCAAAAACATCGAAATGAAAATGAGTGTAGCGGGGAGGCAGTGGGGCCTGTGTTGGTAATTCATTTTTAACATTATACTTGTGTGAGTGTTTAAAGTACAGTCGATCGCATTACCTTAATGTGTAGTTTGGAGGGAATTCTGGCGTTATTTTTTTGCTCTCTTTTAGATTTAATATCGAAGACAGTCAGTCACGGGTGTGTTACGTCGTACGAAATGGCGGGAAAGTGTTGTGGTCGCGCATTTTTTTTAAATTTCGCGCTCGACATGCAACAATGCCAGTATGTTTAAGTATTTTCATAAGTGTCACGTGTATTATTAAATCTTTAAGGCTGTATACAGTTCTTATTCGTAATTTTATACGAGTCTTTGCATTTATTCTATATTTGCTGATGGAATTGTGTTTTATAATAATTAAATAAGGATGTGCAATTTCCAATGTCCACGTTCAATACAGCTTTCGGTCGATTGTAAATTCAAATTGTTTTTAATATGCCGATTGTTAATTGCGAAATAACCGTGTCTAATTCGTGCCGCTTGGCCCGAGTGTACGCTGCGAATTCGGATTGTGCCCCCCGCACTCAGCTACACGCACTGGCGCGATCGTAAGCGCAGTGTGTTAGATCTAATCCGGCCGGGCCGGGCAATCCGCGAACGGACGCGGAGACGTTGCGGTCTCGGCCCAAGCGTGCAGCTCGCATGCGTGATAGTTGACGGTGCATTCGCATCGTCTGGAGACGTCGCACCAGTAAAGGCGCGGCCACCGCCCGCCGCGGCGCTCCGTGCGGCGGGCGCCCCATCTCGGAAACTATACGTACCGAACTCCGCGCGGCCCCCGTAATACCACCCCCCGCGTAATGATTTTTTGGCGATGAATTTATATTCGCGCGCGAGCGGTGCCACTTTTTCGAGCGTCCCCCTCCCGCACCGCTGGCCCCGCCACCCCCCCACCACCTCGCGCCCCCACCCCTCTCATTAACGCAACCCAGATATGCAATTCTGATCTTTGACGAGGAGGCTGTAGTGTCGGCGGGCGCCTCGACGGGAGTGGTGGCCGGTTTTGTTTTTTACCCGCCCGGCTTCATTATTGATGGCATCGGTACGGTAATGCGGAAGCATGTGTGAACGTTTCATTACAAAAGGTGGACGCTCGGCGCGTTAATATTGCAGACCCGCCGGACCCGACCGGACGGGTGGACGCTTCCGATACTGGCCACCGCGAGGGCGAGATAGAAAAAAAAAGCGCCCGCGCTCCGGAAAAGAAAAAAGTTACGCGAAATTAGAAACAATTCGAATTTGGAATTATCGGGCCTCAGTCGCGGCGCCCGCGGTCGGAGCATCCGGACGCGTGCGGGCCGAAAGTTTAGAACGCGAACTACGGCCCGAAGTTTCTCACGTGCGTGTGTGGACGGAGCGGTCGCGTGACGGATTGGCCGGACCGTCGCTCGCTCCACGCACGGCTTTTCGCGCCGTTTTGTCGCCTTTTTTTCCCGCGCCCCCCGCTTCTTTTTTCGAATTCGAGACCGTTTTTCTCCGCCGCCACATCTTTCCCTCGCGGTCGGTGCGCCGCCACTGCACCGGTTTGTTTGTCAGCTGGCGTCGCGTTACCGGACATTGACTTGTAGTGTATTTGTTGATGTTCCGTCGATTGTTTTTGTTGCGTTGCGACGGCGAGCGCGGGGCGGCCGGGAACGAGGTAAGTCGCCGCTGGCCGGCAGGAAAAATAGACGACGAAAAAAAAGAAACATTTTCTAATCGAGAATTTTTATTTGAATAAAACGGGGATATATAAATATGAATAGACAGGGATTGGATTTTTTTTTCGATTCAAGAATTAAATCGTTCGATTTTTAAATGAAAGTTTTTTTTTATTTCGTGCGTCAGCTTATAAATAGTTTGATTGTGTTTCGGACCAGTTGGCATTCCGATTTGTCTCTCGAGCACGGTGACCCTTCAATTGTCCCATTATGATGGTAATCGCTTGTTCGACGCTTTAGCGGTGCAAGGGTCTAGCTGTTCTGCACACGTCAGCGGAGCTCGGCATTAGATCGCTCTGCATAAATAATCAGAGTTCACCGCCTAACCGTTGCTACTCAAGGTGCCAGTGACAAAATCATTCAGCGGCCCAAAGAAATGCAGTGAGGTTTTTTTTTATACACATTTACGTTGCAATTTATGCAATGTCGCGTTACAATTTCTGACTCGATTTTAAGACGATAACTTTATTTTGGTGACTTTTATTTATTTTAATAAAAAAATTAAGTCATTAGATTAGTCTGACACATAATAAGATCAGGAAATCACGGAAATATAACTATAATAAGTCTTAAATATGTCACTGTACTTCACAAATTTATATTGACCATTACGTAAGAGTTAGAGCCGCGTTTAATTTTTTTACTTCGGTAGTTATTAACAAATGTACTCTATGCCAAATGTCTATCCCAAAAGCCCTTAATTCAGACTATGGTTGTACTATTTTAGGGAAACATTGCCACGAAGGCTGAAAAAAAGTACAATTGTTAAAAATAAAAAAAAGTGAGATACATTTTTATTCATAGACATAAAAGTGTTTTTTTACAATGCCTTGAATTACAAGTATTTAATATACGAAACGGCTTTCTTAATTAAACACTTAAAAACATTAATAAGTCCTCAGAAAGCTTACTGTTTAAACGTCTTGGCTACTCGGTTTCACTTTATATCTACACAACTAGAACTTTATTTCAGGCGTTAAAATTAACTTATTACATACTCCAATTATATATACATGTTCCATATAAATGAGAGTATATAATAAGTTAATTTTATGTGAAACATGATAATCACGGTGTAATAACTTAAGATCTTTAAGTAAAGATAGACATCACTGTCACTGACCTGTTGTTGAAAAAAGATCTATCACTTTAGAACCTGTAACGTAGCCTGTAGCGACATCCATACACGGAAGAGATAATCGAACCCACGACTTTTTAACCGACTTCAAAAAGGAGGAGGTTTCTCAATTCGACCGTATATATATTTTTTTTATGTGTTCGCGGATAACTTCGTCGTTTATGAACCGATTTTGATCATTCTTTTTTGTTGGAAAGGAGATATCCCAAAGGTGGTACCATGATAAGGAAACCCGGAGATCTGACGATGGCATCCCAGAGAAGTCGAGGGCAATCCTCAAATGTTATAAGTATCAACAATGTTTCTTAATTTCGGTTTGAAGTCGGTTTAAGAGCGCAAACCAACCCGATCAATTTCACCGCATAATTTAGCAGCTTCTTTAGCTTTACTCTTTACGGCCACGCGGCAGTCTTCGCTGTTGCAGGAATAGGCAGGTCCCAGGGAAGAACCGCGGCCTCAGGAGACCGGTCATATACTACTTGAAATATTAGGGTTGCGTCTCGTTGATTGAATTTTTCCCACGCATCATGGTTGCATACAAGATAAACGCTCTAACGTCAATGAATTCCTAAGTTAATTCGTTAATATATACAATAAGTAAGTTCTTAATCAAGTCTTAGTTAATTACAAAACATACCGCACTATTCATGTAAATAGTCTACATTTGAAGCCACAATAGATAGCGTTTTTCCTTTTTCTGACTTACACATTTTTAATAATCACTTCTAAAATCCCAAATATCCTAAGCTGATTTTTTTTCGGATGATTTTTACGAATAACTAGGCTACAAATCAACATTAACACAATAAAATTTAATGTAAGCCCCCGCTTTACGTGGGTAACTACCACGTCTCGATGAACTTAAAAAATAAAAATTATTCACTTCATTTTATTTTATTATTATTTTAACGACACCGACGAATCTTTAGAAAATGAGGTTTGCAAAAATGTATATTACACTTTATATCTATTCCTACAAAGTTCAACATTAAAATCAATTTGAAAGTGATCAAGTGGACAGGCTTTATAAGGGCGTAGGTACGTCAAAACTATAAATTTATATAATATATATTTTATATATATTATATTATAGTTTAGTTTGGTTCTTAAACTTCTAATAAAATTATGTCAGTAGCCACATTGCTACAAACCATTTTTGATTTGCAGCTGCTCTAACGTTTTCCATAGTATGGGGTAAAATGGAAGTGTTACACTTTGCGTTTCGACTGAGTGAGGTGACCGGGGCCCACTTTATTTACAGGTGGCAACGCATCTGCAACCCTATGGGTGTTGTAAATGTCCATAAGCGGCGGTTGTCACTTAACATCAGGTGAAACACCAGCTCTCTTGGCATCTTCTTACAATAAAAAAATCTGTTGCTTGTGTTAATACTGTCATCAGTGTACCGCTTGTATTCGACCCATGATCCATACCGTACGTCATATTTTCACAACGTAGGACAAATACAACCAATAAGTAAGCAACAGTCCTAATAAGCGAGCGATAATAATAATGGCCCTTAGTTTTGCATGTCCAAACTACTCATTTTAACTGTGGTAGAACCACGCCACAATCTTCTCTGTTGCACGAATGGGCAGGTCCGTCCGGGTAAGTACCACGACCGCACAGAAGACTGGCGTTAAGTGGAAGTGTTTTACTTCTGCGTTGTCGTCAGTAGCCGAAGCCATCACTTAACACCAGGTGAACCGCCAGCTCGCTTGCCACCACTACATAGTATAAAACAAAGTCGTCCCGCTGTCCGTCTGTCCCTATGTATGCTTAGATCTTTAAAACTACGCGGAGCAAACAACGGAGCTTGATGCGGTTTTTTTCACTAGATATAGTGATTCAAGAGGAAGGTTTATATGTATAATACATTACACCCGTGCGTAGCCAGGGTGGGACGCTAGTATCACATGAGAAAAGAGAAAAACACGCGCTCGTGTACGCACACTTCCACACACGTTGCCAGCCTCCACAAAGCGGCCATATTCGCCTCTAAGGCTAAGAGCAACGATTGACCTGTTGCTCCCACCGACGGAACTGCCCGCGCTTATATACCCAGGCCTGTTGTTACAGCACCCTTGATGCATACAGCGGATGGATAGCAATGCTTCTTTGCATCACCCCAAAGTTTGGTATGAAGGAAATACAGAAGTCAAACCCTTTTCAATAAGTCTCAGCCTCAGGTAACTGTATTGGGCTTTAGATGAATCTATGGCAATATGCACATTCAATGCCTCTTCTTTGCTAAACAATACCAAAACCCCATAGAATGAAGATAATAAAAAAAATATTTGTTAAACCAGGACGATGCATCAGAATTCTTCAAGATGATTTGTACAATTGTCTTTATCTTCTCCTGAGCTGTATTTCTCAAAATACAATCGAAGCCTCGTCATTTTCAGAAATAGATCTTAAACCATGTTTCCTCGTTTTTTTATATTTTCTGACCTACTAATCATAAGGCTTACTGGGTCTACCTGGATCTCCAGAAGTGTATACAGAACCTTCAGAAGTGGAAACCCTGTATGAACCTAACGATACTCTAAACTAACTGATCAACCAGGCGGCACTTTGACTCTCAAACCGGACAAGTTTTCTTTGGGCATTTGCCCATTTATGGTTCGGTTTATATCACTGTATTCACATCTGTTGCCGATAAATGAAAATTATATATTGAATATTTTTGAAGATCCTCAGTACTTTTGCCGCTTATTAAAAGCAAGAACATATATCGCGGCGAATACAACCATATCCATTCATTTTTATATTTTCAACAGTTACGTAAAAGAAGTATCTGTATACTTTGCTGAAAATGCTAAAAAAACTCGAGATATATAGCCTAGCTTTAATATTTGTGCAAACCCAATGAGAAAACTGATAACATAATGTTCTCATAGAAAAGAATACCTTCTTTTAGCCGATAAAATTACCGCAACTGATTGGAAAACTACCCACTAATATTCTTATCATAGTTTAGTTCACCGCAAAGAAAAAGTAAAAACCTATATTGAACTTTGATATAAAGTAATAAATAAAGCCATAACTAGTGAAATATTACGATAAAACGTAAAATTCGTTTTGATAAAATATTACCTCAGTGGACACTTATGCCTATAGCTTAAAAAGACGAAGTTTTTTTTTTAATTCTTTGGAATTCGGAACAATTAAGGAATACAAAAATGATAAAAACTCAGCTTCGGTAGCTTTCGGCAACAAAAAACAACCCCTCCCTATTAGAAAATTATTAAAATTGCTTCACAACTATTTTTTTTAATGTAGAAAAATATCTTGCTTAAATACTTAGTAACCCATTGATAATTTACACATCTTAACCTTTCTAAAATATATATGATACTCATTAATTTAAATGGAAAACTTAGAAATTATAAACCACAAGACATCACCAAATATTTCATTAAAATCGGTCCAGCCGTTTAGGAGGAGTTTAGTGGTACACACGTACAGTAGAATTATATATAAATATATATAGAGAGATTATTCGTAGTTCAGTTTCCAATGAAATCTTGTAGATTAATTTTTTTACTCATCTCAATTGCGATAAAAATGGGTGGTATATCGGAATTAATTATTCCACCCTTTAAACGGGTTAAGGATTCGATTCCGATATGAATACGTAATCAGTAAATGAATACGTTTCTTATTTTGCAGACATGACACAGAAGCGCGATCAATTATTTTTATCACTTGCGCTGCTCTTATGAAATCCTAATAACGCAAAATGTCATTTATTTGCGACACAACTATCGCCTTTATTATTTCTGAGGAGATCTTTTCTTAATTTTAATTAAATATAATCTCGATCCGAACAACGCGTAAGTTTTTGAACACGTTTGTATCTCTAAAAATTTTAAATTCTAGTTACAAGCGACTCTCTTTGTTCATTAAACTTAAAATAAAAATTCTTAGCCCAGTCGCGGTTATTAACATGTCGATTTACATTAAAAAAGCACTATTACTTCAATTTAATTTTCGTATACTAAATAGCTTCTTTGTCCGTACCCAAAGAGAATGCAGTTATTACATCTTATACTACAAATCTACAAAAGCTCCTTTTCATCCTCTCTCCTAAATCTGCATCTACACTGACATGCCAGTAACATTAAACATAAAGCTTTGACCCAAAAAAAAACTGTTGATTATCTGTGCCCACTCCTCTATGTAGCAGGCGTGTCTTTAATATCATTGTACCTATTTATAATAACTGTTGATTTATCGACAGTCGTCTATAACACAAAGTCATAATAAAGATATCGTCGTATCTTTGTGGAATTTTCTGTTAAAAATAAAATTATAGAAATGCTTTCATACTTCCTATTGCCAACTATTACTTTAATACTCCTCCCAAAATTACGAATGCATTCATTTACTTCTTTTAATTTCACGTTTACTTTTTAATTTTCAAATGTACAAAGTGTCTAAATTACCTGAAAAAGAATCTAAAAGTTTACTAACCTAAAGTTAAAAATATCATACGTATGAAAGCATATAAATAATATCAAAAAGCGCTAAATCGCTTCCATCATATTTTTGTCGTCTTTCAAAATTCGAACGACCGTGACGGTCAATGCCGCGAGAGCTCAGTGCGCCGTTTAAAAAAAAAAAACAAAAAGCGCGCGCTATCGCGTCGGTTACGCGGGCTCGGCGCCCTGCAGGCCGTAGCTGGTGAGGCGCTCGAGCCGCGGCTCGGCTCTGCAACGCCCCTGTCTACGACGGATCCCGCCATTGTGCCATTCACATTCGACTCTCCAAAGCGGTTTTGCTAAACTCCAACCGACAGCCGCTAGCTAGTCTCGTTTCTAAAATGATCGGCCGCGTTCCTTTTTCGAAATACTCTTATAACTTTGCTTTCGATGGGAGTGCGACAGCTATACAGTTTATAAACGTTTAGACAGCGTTCCTTTTTCGAAAAAACCTCGATTGTCTCACCACACGCTGGTGCGACGGCTACGACCGAGTTCCTTTTTTAAGAGCGAAAAAAAAAATGAAAAAAAGGCAGCCGCCGATTGTCTAGTCATACGCAGGGCTCGTTCGCCCCCGCCGATTTCTGAGACCCGGTGATTTTCTAATGCTCACTTTTCCCAGTCTCCGATCCTTTCGGATGCTGCAGCGGGGCGAATCGAGCGGCGGGAAATAAAAGGATAAAACAACAGATCGGGAGCGGTAATCACATCGGGGGTCCAGACGCTCATCGATTCCGCGCCAATCTGCAAGGGGAGAGATCGCACATAGAACAGGCGGCCTAGAAAAAAGTAAAAAACGGTGACAGACTCATTCCGTTCTCCGTCTCCGTCCTAATCGCGTCCCCCACGCACGCGCGGCTTTTTAATTGCATCCCCCCCCACCCCCCCTCGGCCCCGGAAAAAAGGGCGAGTGTACGATGGATTAGCATAGGGCTGTTGCGCGAGTGCTTGTTTAGGAGGCGAAAGGGAAACTCCGCCGCGGAAGCGCGGTACGGAACGGCGGAGCGCTTGTTAATGTTTTCCCGGAGAATTTTCGGAATCTTTTTCATTCCCATTTGAATGTTTATTCAAACAGCACGTAGTATTATTTCTATCTCATTCAAGTAATGTGCGCCGGCTTCGATTTTGAACATCGTAATTTGAGATCTTTAAAACATCGTCGTTTGCCATAGACTGGCACAAATTCATTGAAATCCCCGCGAAAAGACGCGAAACGCAACCCCGTGCCCGCGGAAACGTATCCGTCACAGCCCTAATTAGCATACAGCCTCGCGCCAGGAGCGCGGAGCACCCCTTCAGTTTTTACGCGCCCCCTCCCGCCGTATTTTTACGCGGCGCATTTTCGGCGGCGCGGGGCGCGCGGGGGGGCGTGCGTGCGTGCGTGCGCGCCGCCAGTCGGCGACTGCCGGCGACCGCGCGATGTGCAGCACGCCGTTCGCAACACTACGCGGGCAGACGTTGCACTTACGCGGCTGACATGAACGAAACGTTTTGAAATTCGAATTGAGCCTCGAGTTCCGCGTGCGTTGTTTCGTTTTATTTTTTTTTTTAATTTCCACGAATATACATACTGTTGTTTTTTTAATTTCGCCATTAAGTTCCCTCCTCGCGTAGTGAAGTGGAGTGCTGACAGGATTGGCGCGAATTCGGGTAAGTTTTCAACGTTAATTCACTATTCTCGGTTATCAATTATGACGTTAGAACTAGCAAAATTCGGTGATAGCTGGGAGCAAGGTCGTGCCAAATGATAATATTATTTGCACAAAAATTGTGTTAGACTGCCACGGATGACCTCGTTTAGGACAACGCGTACCGTTTATACGAGTTTTTCTTCGGTCACTTATTAGTCTTTAATGAATGCGAAGTGTTGTGTTAGCAGCATTACTCCGTTCTTAGAAAAGATAACATTTTTATAGACAAATTGAGATAGGTGTGTGCAGTCGACAGAGGACGGTCCTGTTACATTACTAATGTTGAAAAGATAGTGGCGCGGAAATTTAAAACTTAATTTGATGATTGATAAAAAACCTCCTAAAAGTCAAGGGAAGATATTTTAAGAAGTAAAGATGCTTTTCAATATATATTCTTTTTTTATTTTACCGTTAAATAAAAAAAGCTACGGTTCTACTAACAAGTGTTCCATAAAAACATCAACCGGTACTTAAAATTAAATCTGATGTCCATTTCCCGTATTTCATGTGAGCTCTATCAAATTTTCAAACCGATTTCAGTTCTATTACATGTGCTTTGTAAAACATCAAATAATTCATTTAATTAGATAGTGCATGCGTATTTATCAAATTATATGATACTCGTAAATAATCATAATACAATTTACTTGCCTGTCTCTAATTGAATTCCTTACAATTATTAACAAGATTGCTTAATTATTTTTTATCTTACTTATTTGAATTGCAGCAAGATTTTCGGCGATGGATATGCATGCTTAATTTTCTTCTTTGTGCATTTGTAGGTTACTTAGTATCACTTATGCATACCCTACCTCGATATAGTTGAGTTTCTTGAGCTACCTCAATCGGTTTGAAAAACTGAGTGTGTTATGTCTATATACGGCAGACCCCACCAGCTCATGAAACGTAGAAGGTCACCTCGGGCGAATTTTTCCACCCAAATGCATAATTAACCCAAGTGTCGGATCCATATTGACATAAGTCAAAACTGACGGGCTCAGATTTCTTCAATATTATTGAATTAAGATCTCGTCTAGTGCATTTAGTCGGGTTCAATTATAGTTTCTGTAAATTGAAGAGAGTTTGAGGAATGACTAATGCTGGTATATGAGATAGAGCTCAGGCTTTTCTGCTTTGCAAAATTGTAAGATTTTTTCTGTTTTCAATACAATATAATCTTACACGGCTGGAGGTTGCAATTTATATATTTTCAATGGAAAATTTTAAAATAAATCGAAATAATCATTTAACCCATACCAATTGAGGTTATAAAAGCCTTGCTTGTTGATAAAACATTGTTCCATAGTTCAAGAGTATAAGAATACGTTGATCTAGTCCATATTTTCTGATAGTAGTCTGTAAGGGAATAAAAAACTTCAACTTGTGTCTCATGGCTTTGGTCTTTTCTCTTTAAATATGAAGTCGCAATTTTCGTTCTTCGACCGTTTCTCAATTATAAATTATTAACACCGTGATAAATAATTTAAATATATTTATGTAGTTTCGTGCGTACTTTTATAACTACTAGCTGTGCCCGCGGCTTCGCTCGAGTTGCAGCCCTTAAATAAATATCTTTTTTTTTAAAGAATCCTATGTCCTTTTTAATACCTTTAAGAATATGTGTACAAAGTTTCATGATAAACGGTTCAGTAGTTTTGGCGTGAAAGAAACAAACAGACTTACATTCACATTTATAATATTAAGTAGGGATATATACTCGTAGGTATTTACTTATTAAGTTAATAACTACAAATTTAGTATCTTTAACGCGAGGAATAATGAATGTAATATTTAAATATGAAGAAGGAAAGAGTATCAAACTTTCAGGGAACAATCATCATCATCATTTCAGCCTATTTAATCCACTGCTGAACAAAGGCCTCCCCCACATACCGCCACGAAGCACGATCCTGAGCCACCTGCATCCATCGGCTTCCCGCATATTGCACATGGTCGTCACTCCACCTAGTTGGAGGTCATCCTCCACTGCGATAGCCAATATAAGGCTGCCACTAAAGGACCTCACTTCTCCATCGGCTATTGGTTCATCGACTTGAATAGCCGGCCCATAGCCACTAATTCTCTTAGCTATGTCAGTTATTTTTGTTTTCTTGCGGATGCCTTCATTGCGAACTCTATCACGCAGAGAAATACCGCATTGGGCTTCCTCATAGGGCCAGCGGTGAAATACCAAGCCCCACTTGCGGGTCATTAAGTTTCATCCGATTCTGAACTAAATACAAAATTCACAAATGTCCTGTTGCTGGTAAATCGGGTTTGACGGAGCTATCTTTAGCGTTTTACCTGTTGAGTCAATGAGGTCTTACTTACACGCTAGTGTACCATCGCTTTGTGTCGGAACTATTACACCATGACTGTGTTCTTGACACAATTCATTAGTGGAAGGTAAAAAATAACCCAGACTCAAGAGCGGCTGAAAAGGAACATTTCGATTTCTTCGATAGGAAACTCGGCCCTTGCCCGCAGAATGGACCAAGGTGCCAGGCTGCAGTGTTACGGCGGACATTAGTTATCAAATCAAGTCAAATCAAAAATATATTCGTTAACACGGACGCATGCGCGTTCTTATGAAATGTCAAAATTTTATACGTTCGTAAGTTACCACCGATTCGTAAGTTACCACAGGTTATGTCTTGAGTTCAGCAGAAGTTAGTCAGCAAAGCACATCGATAATCGTGCATACAGTCAAAAAGCTCTGGCGGAGCCGAAGACAAAAGAACTGCGCGCACAGTTATTACGAACAAAAATAGAATTGTCTCAGCGCAAACAACTAGATTTTGTCCTTGTACGTGTAAAGTTCAATACCTAGAGATTCCGCCTCGCATAGGCTGACACCGCGGCGCTCCTTGCGATAACGCTCCCGATCGAAAATAAGACGTATCGTTTTCCGCGTAACAACTAAAACAGATGACCAATTAGTGTAATTGCATGTGGTTAACCGAAAAGACCGTTTCCGATTTCATACATGCTAGTTTTGCCCGATGACTTTTTTATTGTCATGAATTTATGAAACGTTTTACCTGCTCCGGGTTGAAATTATCTATTATCCTGTTAGTGTTTCTTTATTTTTAGTGTTTAGACAGAAGAAAAGCCTGAACAGCAACCATTTATTTTGTCCGAAATTATAGATTTAGGTTAGCCGCGATAGCTCAATGTCCGGGCGCGTATACTCGACCGACATGAGTTCAAATCCCACTTTATGAAAAGAAACCTGCATATTTTAAAAATAATAGTGATAAAGCAATCATCATCATCATCATCATTTCAGCCTGTTTGAGTCCACTGCTAAACATAGGCCTCCCCCATAGACTGCCACGAAGTACGATCCTGAGCCACCTGCATCCATCGACTTCCCGCACATTTGCACAGGTTGTCACTCCATGTAGTGGGGGGTCGTCCTACACTGCGATGGCCAGTACGAGGCTGCCACTCGAGAACCTTTCTTCCCCAACGGTTATCGGTTCTACGAGCTATATGGCCGGCCCATCGCCACTTCAGCTTCCTAATCCTCTGAGCTATGTCGGTTACCTTGGTTCTACTGCATAAAGCAATATTTTGAAGATATGTGAAGTCGGCCAAACAGTCGCGTGGTGGACTAGGCCTTTGCCCACCAGTAGGATATATATAAAAGGTACTTAACTTAGGAGCCGTGATAGCTCAGTGTCCGGGCGCTCGCCTTTAATTCAATATACTCGAACAACCTGAGTTCGATCCCCGGTGGTGGCACCAATAATTGAATTAATTGATGAAGAAATTTTAAATTTATATTATTTATACGTTTACTTGAGACAGCTTTGCGGCAATATAAAGAATTGGGTATATATCATATACAGCGTGTCGTTACCATCGCGACAATAAATGAACACACATATAGGGGATAACTTTTTAAAGTTGTATTAAACATTTAAATTCTTTAAACATCAATATTTACAGAATTATTAAATTTTCCAAAACAAAGAATTTTAGAACACCCTTACCTATAAAAGCGTAACGTAAAGTTCATTTGTAAAGGTCACAAAGCATGTGAATGGGTTGAATGAATTTAAAAGAGACAAAACATACTGTTAGAAGGAGAGGCTTGTAATGCGACGCTGTGGCGCGAGTTGTATAGGTGTTACAAATTTTGTTTCTTTTTTACTTAATTAGTTTGTTTGAAAAATATATTTTTTTAATTATGGATTTTGTTTAACGTTAATATTTTTTTTATGATTATTGGCAAGTAGCGTTAGACGTGTGTTCATTTATTGTCGCGATGGTAACGACACGCTGTATAATATAATATACCAGTATAGTATCAATATTTACGTCTGTTCGCAACATGGCTCTCTGTTCACTCCAGAAACGGATTCGCTGCGATAATGTGGACGGATCAAGTGTGGCGTTGTCGCTAATGCGTAGAAAACAAAGGCGCATATAAATATGCGTTTACGATGTGGAGATACGCGTGTTCAAATATTAACTCTCCCGCCATCATCTGGCGCGGGGCTTACTCGAAATTGGCGGGAATGCACAGATGATAATCACTGCCCGCATGCAGACTGTAGCAGCCAATTCCCTTTCGATGTCTATTCATTAGTAAAGGTCTACTAGATTCTAGTAGGCGCGCTAAAATCTTAATTACTTATTGTACATTGCATAAATTTGTTGTTATATTGTTACTTTTATGTATATTCTTTTTTGTGGTGGACAATAAAAGTGTATTCATTCATAAGGACGAACATAGTCGTTTTAGCCATAGCAAGCGATCTGTAACCCTAAAT